CAGCCAAACCAGGCCCTAGGAAGACAGTCCAGGGCAGGAAATATATGTAAACAGATGTGTCTTTCCATACAGAAATTTTAAGGTTCATCTTAAAACTGTTGTTCTCTAAAAAAATTCCCCAGAGCACAGATCTTGCAAAATCCAATCATTAAAATATTCTAAACAACCAGGAGTCACTTAAGATATCAGGTTAAAACAGCTCAGTCACCTTTCCAGCCCCCTAGCCCAGGCCAACTCCGACACCGCAGGCCTGGCCCTGAGCTGGGTGCACTGCGGCGGTGGGCGGGGTCTCCCCTGGACAAGTCCACCCCACGCCCAGGCGGGGGGTGGGGGCAGGTGGAGACGGAAACTGGGCCGCCGCTGCCCGGCCCCAGAGAAGGGGCTCGCGCTGCATTCTGCCGTCCTCGCTGCGGCCGGAGGCCCAGGAGGGGCTCTTACGATTAGTGTCTGGCAGCGAGAAGCACGGAGGAATGCAAAGCCCGCAACCGATGGCCCTCCTGGTTCGCATCGTTCGAGAAATTCCTGGTTTCATTTCCACGGGTCAGCGGCCGACGTGTTAGCACATCTAGACATTTTTATGGTTGAATTCCTTGTGGAAAAGGCAGGGTATGTGTTTCCTGGGAAAGCATTATTCCTCCTTCGAGCTGGGCCTCCGCTGCTCTGCTTTCCCGGAGCCAGGGGGCTGACAGGGCACGGGGTTGGTGACAGTCTCGTTCAGAACCAGAGGGCCGTGAAGCGGCAGCTCTGCCTGGGACCACGGAAACCACCAAGGCCGGGTCAGGTTTGGACCCCAGAGCAGGAAGGGTTCCTCCTGTCTTTAAAAACAGAAGCCGGATATTTAAGTTTTTCAATGAAATTTCATAACTTAAACATTAGCAAACCAACAGGCCCATGGGATGGCCCTCCTGGCCTGCGCCCCGAGTCCGACCTTCCTTTAACAGATGCCACCCCGAGACTACGAGCAGTGGGGTCACTTGTCTAGGGCCCCCAGCCGTTGGATGATGAGGCTGGGGCTAGAACTCTGATCTCTCGTGATAACTGCAAATCCTTTTTCCAGTGCTTCTGACAACCATGCTGCAGGGGAGGGGACCCCGACGTGGCCTGGAGCGTTGTGCGGGCCCCTCGCTATCTTCAAGACTTAACTATAAACAAGTTAAATATACACGTTTTGCGTTAAGCACACATCCGTCTGTGGTGTGCGGTTCGCGTATGGTATCTCATAAGGTCCTGACACACGCATTTGTGCGGCGGCCACGTTTGAAGGGAGGTGAGGCGTCCCAGGCCCCTCGTCCTCTCTCATCTGAGACGTCGCCAGATGCCCAGGGATTCTTAACCAGTGGGGTGAAGACAGAGCTGATGGAAGGCTTCTGCGCCCCACCCGTGAGAGGAGATGACGCCCAGGGCCCCGTTGGGGAGGGTGGGAACCCCGCAGAAGGCCTGGAATCCGCCTCCCACATGCCCCTCCCCGGGGGGCACCGGCGGGGGCTCCCGTCGCACGCGCCCCTGCCGCTCTGTGCCCCTGTCTGTGGCTCGGTCACTTCCAGCCCTCAGCCTTTTTCGCTTTCACATCTGTGATCTCTGCAATCTCTGGAATGCGAGAGACCTGGCCTCCGGTCCCGGGCCACGCCTGCCGCGCGGCTGGGGGTAGATTATGGAGCTTTCGTTTTCTTATCTGTGAGACTCATCCGCTAGGATTCGCTGAGACCATGTGGCCATGCCTGACGCGGGTCCCCATCCCCCACCCGACAGTCAAAACTGGTCCCCCAATGACAGTGTGTGCCCTAAATGACAGGCTGGATGCACAACTGCAGGGGGGGGGAATTTCACGGTGACCGCGGCCTCCGGAGCCTGCCTGAGGACCCAGCTGTCCTGAAGAGGTGACGTGTCCCCGTCTGCAGGCTCAGGTCTGCGGGTAGGTACTTGTGTGAATCGTGTTTCCTCTGGGAATAAAAATAATTGTTCTTAACTCTCTTTCCTCTGGGAGCTGGGACGCATTCATAGGCCTGTGGAGGACTGGTAAAAGCTGCATAACTTGTCCCCAGAGAAAGGCACGCACACTAAATTCTGCAATCAAATCAGAGCTTTGTGGGCCTCGGAACCCCGCCCTGTTCCTGGGGCTTCGAGAAGCTCTTCTAAGCAGGAGAAGCTTCGGGAACATGACCCACTTGGAGGCTGCCCAGGGGGTGAGGTCGGGCCGACTTCGAAATCGCTTATGCTCAGCAAACTCTTTCTCCTGGAGATGTGGTTTGCTCGTGGGCGACTTGGGGTGCCGCC